GCAATAGAACGCTGAGATAGAAAGAAATCTTTGCATGCCAGGGCTTCACATCTCTGGGTATCTCAGCCGCAGCACTTTGCCAGTCTTCCCTCTAGTGGCTGCCATGACAATTACATCATTGGTGTAGCTAGAACAAGAGTTAATGGGACGTACAACCACATTCCAGTTTTCTGGGGCTGAGGATGTGATCTGAGCCTTATTTTAAGAGCAGAGCATTAATGCATTGGACTAAGAAAGCTGCTTCAACCAGTGTAAAAAATTATAGAAGAAAGTTAGAATTATTTTTAATTAGTGCAATGTACATTCCAATAAAAAGGAGTAAGTTTAAGAACTGTAATATATTTGTCAGTTATGCATAAGTTCATTATTCATTTTCCTATTAGTTTTACCTCCAGTATTTTAAATATTTTAAACTATATAACTTCAAACAAGCCAAGCTAAAAAAATATGTGTACCTAACATATATATTAGGCAAAAATGCAGCATGATCCTTTGCTTGTTTATATTAGATATTCAAGTTTTTAAATTATCAATTACTTTGTTTTGGTTAACTTTGTGTTTTAATTTCATGGAAAATTCATATTAGGAGAATTTATATGTGAAAGGTCAGGAAATCTTTTCATGTTAAATTAAAAATCCTGTAAAAATCATCGAAAAATAAAACCTTAGAATATTGGAAATAATTGTATACAAAAATGGGTAGACTATGTCTGCTATACCTGTGATTCTAGCATACGTACTTCCACCTAAAGGGGGCACTTAAAAAGTATTAAATATCATGAAGTTCAAAATAATTATAATGATAAAATGATTCTGTATTCAAATACATTTTAAAGTATTGGTTTATTGATGTAAAAATACGGATACATGAAATGTTCATTTTCTGAAAAAGTATTTTTTGATGATTTTAACAAACACATTCTTTGTAAACAAAAAAGAAAACTTAGAAAAATATTAAAGTAGTTATCCTATTTTGAGAAACATTCATACTTTCATACTTTTGCAAAAATGTGTATCATGGACATTTACATATACAGAGAGAGATATGCAACTATATGCTATTTTGTAAGCAGCCATCAACCAGTTTTTCACTTAGCATATAATAAATATTTTCTGTGTTTTTATATATACTATGAAATTCTGGTTTATAATGATTGCACAGGATCTTATCACATGTCAACTAGACATCAAACTTTTCCTAATCCATCACAAAAATTCTCCAATATAACTTTTTATCACAAGTCTACACATGGCACCAAAGACATAATTCATTATATCCAAAATGATAAATTGGGCTTAATCAAAATGAAAACCTTTTGTTTGTGGACAAACACAATTAATAAAAGAGTTAAAAATCAACAGTAAGAAAACAAGCACCTATATCCCCACCTACCCGGGAGGCTGAGGCAGGAGTATCTCTTGAGCCCCAGAGTTAGAGATTGTTGTTAGTTAAGCTGAGGCCACAGTGCTCTAGCCTGGGCAACAGAACAGCAAGACTTTGCCTCAAAAAAAAAAAAAGGAAAAAGGAAACCAACCCATCAAAACAAAGGTTAAAACAACACATGATCAGACACGTTAACCAAAAGAGATAAAAAGAAACAAGGATATCAGATGAGACTGTGAGAGTGTATCTATCACTATTAACCATTGCACAAATGAAACTTTAAAACATGATGAGCTACTCCTAAATACACCAATAAAGTGGCTAAAAACCAAACAAAGGAAAAGCAAAAAGCATTCTGACAATTTCAAGTGATAATAAAGATATGAGATACTGGATCTCTCATATATTGGTGATGGGAATACAATGGTACAGCTATTCCAAAAAGCAGTGTGGCATTTTCTTAAAAATTAACCCTACCCTTAATCTATGACCCAGAAATCTCAGTCCAGGATATCTATTTCCAAGATCTGAAAACTTACATCTGCACAAAAATCTGCACAAAAATTTCTCTAGAGCTTTTGTTCATAATTGTCCCAAAGTATAAATGATTCAAATGCCCTTCAGCAGGTGAACATATTAACATATTGTTGTACATCCTAGCAATTGAATGGTATTCAGCAGTAAAAAGGAAAAAGAAATCCAAAATGTCTGATATACACAATAACTTGGATGACTTCCAAAGACATTATACTGAGTGAAAAAAGCCACTCTTAAAAAATTATTTACTTGGCCAGGCGCAGTGGCTCATGCCTGTAATCCTAGCACTCTGAGAGGCTAAGGCAACAGGATCTCTTGAGCTCAGGAGTAGCAGACAGCCTAAGAGCGAAACTCCTTTACTATAAAAAGTAGAAAATATTAGCTGTGTGTTATGGCAGGTGCCTGTAATCACAGCTGCTCAGGAGGCTGAAGCAGGAGGATCATTGAGTTCAAGAGGCTGAGGTTGTTGTGATCTAGGCTTATCCCATGGCACTCTAGCTGTGGCAACAGAGCATGCCTCTGTCTCAAAAAATAAATGAATGAATGAATGAATAAATAAATAAATAAATGCATAAAAGATTATTTATTCAATGCTTCAGTTATATGACATTCTCAAAAAGACAAAATTACAGTGCAGGAGAAAACATTAATAGTATCCATGAGTTAATGGGTAGAGAAAAGGGGTAACTATTCATGAAGTTTTTTTGAGTAAGGAAATCATTGTCTAACCTGACCATGGTAGTAGTTATATAGATATCTGCATATGTGAACATTGGCAGACAGGAAAAAGCCAATTCTGTTCTAGATCATTTCAAAAAGAATTATTTTTAAGTTACATATTTACCACTGCTTTAGAACAATGTGAATTCCAAGTTTTGTCAATTATGGATAAATTCACTAGAAACATAAATGTGCAAGGTTTGTGTGAACATAAATTTTTGAACTCCTTTTGGTAAATACTGAGAAAAATCCTGCTCAGTTTCAGGATTTTATGGTGAAATGTCCGATAGCAAGTGAATGGATAAATATACTGTGATATATCCAGACCATGGGATATTATTCAGTTCTTAAAGTTGCTATCAAGCCATTAAAAGATATGAAAAAAAAAAATAAACATACATTACAAAGAGAAAGAGTTGAATCTGGAATCCCCCAAAATGCAAAACTGTGGAAACAAGAAAAAGATCAGTGCTTGCGAAGGATTAGACAATGAATAAGCAGAGCACAGAGGATTTTAGGGCAGTGAAAATTGTTCATGATACCACACTGGTGGATATGCATCCTTATTCACTTGTCCAAACCCAAAGAATCCACACCAACGGTGAGCTTTGTAGACGATGCACTCTGAGTAATGGTGTGTCAATAGAGTTTCATTAGTTGTAGTAAAGGTATTGCTCTCATGGGTGACATATACAACAGGGGAAATATACATACACGGGGACAGGTTTCCTATGGGAAACCTCTGTCACTTCCTCTCAATTTTGATGTAGGCTAAACACACTCCAAAAAAGTAAAGAGTTTAATAAAATAAAATACCTCATAAAGTACCACTATATTAAACCAAAACAAAGTAAAAACAAAACCAGCAAAAAAACTTTCAACTCATCATGTTGTAAAAAATCATTTCTTATTATTTTCTACTGACTTTGAAAAATGTCAGGGAGCCCAAAGACATAATTTTTTTAATAAAAACATATCTGCTGGGAAATTTACATTTAAACCTAAAGCTCTGGAGATTGCCCATTTGCTGTGCTTTCACAACGCTAAATCTTAGAGCGTTTAATTTCCCTAAATTTTAGGCAAAGTCAAACCGTATTTATTACTGTCTAAATTTACATTTATGTACTTAGTAATGAGGTGATTTCTTTTTATATTCGAGATCATTTGTATTGTTCTCATTATTTTCATTCCCTCTGTGACATGTTATTAAAAACACTTCCACTACACAAGAATTTGATATAACTGATTTGCTTGGCATTGCTTTTGCCTCCAGTGATCGGGAAATTTTATTTTAATTTGTTTTCAACCGTTCGCTAAATGAAGATGTACAATTAGACTGTGTCTTAGAAGATACAACTTCCTGCATGTTATTATTCAGTTACGTCTCTCTCATCTGCTTCGCCGTGAATAGCAACAGCGCTGTGAGCTGTCAGTGACTACTGCACAAGCTGTGAAATTACACCATGAAGCAAATTTGATTGTACTGAAAAGACTTTTCACAGGACAAAAGCATAGATATCTCTTCACACAATTTTGGACTCATGCTAATGACTCGTACTTGTATTCGCAGGGCAGCCGCTGGAACTGTTGTCAGGGGCCTGATGAATAGAGGACTGTATCGCCTGAGTTCTGCTTCAGAGCTTTTCAGCACCTGGATCATAGCATGACATGCAAAATCAGAAGTCAGGCTAAATTGGTTTATTCTTTTAGTTTGAGACCTAACACAAATCTTTTATTTCATCAGATGCACAAATTATTCGAATTTTCTATTCAGTTGATTTAAACACATTACATTTTTCTGTTTAGGCAAGAACTGCAAATTTTCTTAAATGTCAGTTTAAAAAATTCTAAATTACTTCTAACCATTATCTATAACTTTGAATTATAACTGAATTCTAACTTGTTTTTTATTTATTTCATTTTTTTATTAAATCATAGCTGTGCACATTACTGCAATCATGGGGCACAATGTGCTGGTTTTATATACAATTTGAAATACTTTCATGAAACTGGTTAACATAGCCTTCACCACATTTTCTTAGTTATTGTGTTAAGACATTTATATTCTACATGGAGTAGATTTAACGTGTACCCTTGTAAGATGCACCATAGGTGTGGTCCCACCAGTCACCTCCCTCCACCCATCCTCCCCCTCTCCTCCCTTCTCCCTCCTCTTTCCCTTCGTCTTGGGCTGTAGTTGGGTTATAGATTTCATACAGAAGTGTGAGTGTTTATAAATTGGTTTCATATTGGGGCTGAGCACGTTGGATACTTGTTCTTCCATTCTTGAGATGCTTTGCTAAGAAGAATATGTTCCCAGCTCCATCCATGTAAACATAAAAGAGGTAAAGTCTACATCAAAAAAATGGAAAACTTCTTCGCGAATTTGCATGTCATCCTTGTGCAGGGGCCACGCTAACCCTCTCTTCCAATTTTAGTATATGTGCTGCCGAAGTGAGCACAGAGCCCTTGGTGACTATATGCTTGTGTATGAGCAAATGGCACAAAACATTAGAATTGAAGACACACGTCTTCTGAAGTTTCCTCCTTTTGAATCTTAGTATGATCATAAATCTGATTTGAATGCCTACACATTAACATGTAAGATAAAGATGACATAGAAATATGGTAGTATGTAACTTACTGCATTTAGCTGTGCTAGAATCACTCAGCTGATTTATTAGTTTTAGTAAAAGTTCAGCCTGTTTTCTATATTACTGTTTGCAGTAATAAACATTTGGCATCTTTGTTCAAAAAAGCAACAGGTATATACTGTCACACGAAGGAACAATAGTAGAAATAAAAATTACATATCTAATGTGCAAATAGTCTTGTGGCTGGCATTTCTTTTAAGGAAAATAGAAATTTATAAAGGTAATTACAAACAGTAATTTGTATAGGGAGTAAAGTCTCTTATCCTGCTAGGTTTGCTGAAAAAACACTGACATGAGGCAAATTGACTAAAGAAGAAGATACAAATTTACTTTTAAGTATACAAGGGAACTCTCCGAAGGAAAATTCAATTCTCAAGGAAGTGCAGAGGTTTTTAAACCATGAAAGTTTGAACACAGAAAAACAGGTGTGGGGAAGAAGAGAGGAAGAGGCTTGACTAGCTATCCAAGGTGGTCTTATATAAATAAAACCATATAGGTAGCAGCCCACAGAGAGAATACATAGTAAATGTTTTCTTTTTGTCAAGACCTTTAAAGGTGTCAGTCTCAGGAAATATTTTCTAAATTGGAAAAGGGGAGATCCTGCTGCATTTTCTACCGATGTAAATTTTCCCTCACACGAAAGACAGGTTGGTGGTATTACTTCTATCTGTGAGAATCATGGCAGCCATCTCAAACTAGGTCAAAGCAATATACTTGTTACAGCCCAAGCAGGTTGTATTGCTGCTGCAGAGAAGAGCCAATACAGCGAGATAGTTGGTGCTGCAGTGGAGAAGGAGTTTAATATTGCAGACGACCATGCAAGACGACAAGGAATTTTTTAAATCCATCTCTCCAAGACTTTGGGAGAAGGGGTTTTTCAAGATAGTTTTGTGGGCAAAAGTTAGGCAATTAGGTCTGCTGATTGGCTTGATTTGGGACGAAGTCCTAGAGATGCGGAAATCATGTTCTTGTATTGAGTCAGTGCCTGAGTAGGAGTCACAATACCAGTTGAGTTAGTTTCTTGGTATGGGCCACTGTTGGGTCAACTGGTGGGTGGAATGCAGAGTCTAGAAGATATCTTAAAACTACCCTTGACTTTCACCAGGGTGATATCATCTATGGAGAGGGCTAAGAATCTTTATGACCATCAGCCATGTGACTCCTGAGATGTAATTACAGAAAAGCAAACTAAAGGACAATGGATGGTTGTTTTTATTATTGTCATCTATGCATGTGCCTTTGCAGAGTTTAGGCCCTTGCCACGGTTCTTACATTGCACCACTTCATGAACTTGCAAGGGAAGTTTTATATATAGGGGTCAAATATTTCTAATTCCTTCCCAAGTATGCCCATCATTAATTCATTACAACACCCTTAAATAATTTTTGGAAGATAATTATTTGCTCCCCAAATGACAAGAATAAACTAACACCGAAATATTCCTAAACTGTTTCTTTGAGTTTGGAATCACATCCACTGTAATAAAATGTGCTGGAGAAAAAGATTATGTTTGCCTGCTCTTTGCCATGGCCCGCCGTGCCGACCCCTTTCTCCTTTAATTTCTCGATTCTCACCTCAGATATTTCCCTGGGCAGATCCCCAACTCAGTGTCTCTACTGCTACTTCCTCCTACACTGGCACAGTCAGGAGGTCTACTCTGTGCTGATTTCTAGGCTTCCTTCTCCCTTAGAAATTTTCAGCCTTTAGTTTTATCCACTAATTATATCACCAGAGAGAAAACTCATGGAACATGGAATGTTCTAAATTTGCTTTTCAAAAGATAATAATTGCACCTTTCTTGTTGTCCAAGTTGATAGTGGTTCTAGGTTATACCTGTATAAATCAGGTACTGTGCCACAAGTGGGATGCCAGTTTTTAACAGGAATAGTCTTTCATAGTACATGGTGCTCGGTCATGACACGTAAATGATCATTTCTACTTGATAAAATTATTTTTTAAAACTCTTAAAATAGTGCTACTGGTGAATTTAGAGGATTTAAAAGTTTAGTAAAGAAGATTATTAAAGCTAAGTTTTTAGTTAATATACACAATAGGGAGAGGAAAAAGTTAATAAATTATATAAATGTTAAAATGGATAAGCTCATTAAAAACCCATTACTTCTATTGCAATATCAGTAAAAGCTTAATAGGTTGTGATTATGGGCCAATTTTCCAGCTGAGGCTTCTTGTTCTTGCAAAATGTAAACAGGAAGAAAAAGCAGTTTGACATAAAAATTGTGGCACAACCAGATTTCATTCCAATTTAAAAAAAAAAAACAGCTCAGTCTGAGGATAATTTTTGGTTAATCATTCACACCTTTTATTTTATGATATAGATGCAAAATTTTAGGTGCATAGGATATCTGTGTCTTTCCACATATATATGGCCACATATGCTTTTCATTCTTTTGCTATTTTGATCATGATCTTCACGTAGTTTAATGATTATGATAGGGGCCCTTCCTCCCATTGCTTTTGCAACCATTGAGCCTTTAGCAAGTGTTTGAAGTGTTTATTAAACTGCTTGCTGGCATGGAGACACAAGTTCTCCATTAAGTGTTACTTAGAACAACAAAGGAAAACAACCAAAAGCTTTCATGCTTGTAACTGTATGGCACACTCAGCTGCTATTATTTCTTAGACATTTATAATTGAACTAAATTTACGGAAGTCTGATTCACAGCGTCCTTAGAAAACTCTGCCTCCCCAGCTTTTCATTATTTTCTAACCTCAGTGCAGCAAGTCGAGAGAACTGTTTCTTCATATCACCCAAATATGGTATCACTGTCCACCACACTTGTGTTAAAAAAAATGTCATTTTGGTGATAGCAGATTGACTATATTCTTTTTATTAGCATCTTGGCACATCACTTAAAATTTGTGACAAAGTTGACCCATTTTAAGTATCGTCATTTAATCTGATCTATGATACCAAGCCTGATTGTCACTTTCTAAGTCTTTTAGAAACTTAATTTTTGTCACTCTGAATATGATGTCACAATATTTTAAAACCGTTCTTATCCCTACTATCAAAATAAGAGATGATGGACAGGATGTGATAACATATTAACTATCTCTCCTCTCTATTGTTCAAAAAATTCTGGTGAAAATATTTTCAGAATTTTGAAGTCCAGGATAAATTTGGCTAAAAGTTCATGGTGCTTTCTGTGCATCCTCTGTACAGAAGATGAAACAAACCAAGCAAGAGTTTCACATTCCTTCCTTAAATACATTACTTCCTTAAATACTTCCTACCTTAAATACATTACCTGCCATTAACAGAAATGAACTCTCCTAAGCAAACCTGCATATCCTCATTATTGGAAAATATTCTAATGTTAATAAGTTTATTCTGTAAGGACAGAGATTCCAGATATTCCATGGCTGTAATGTTGTTCATCCACATTGTTATAGACATATAGCAATACCTATAAATTTGTGATAAATATCTACATAAAATAAAAATGGGCCATTTGAAATATGTGATTTTGAGGAGTCAGCATAACACTTTATACATTAGCTCAAGCCAAAGGACAAAATAATCGATTTGTTGATGACATACTGACCCTAAGTGTAGCATGTTCTACTCTAAAGAAACAAGCATTTAAAGCCAACTGTGGTGCTGTTATTTATATATTCATGAAAGATGCTACTAGTCCAGATAATAAGTAAAATTGTCTAAGATGTTTCCCAAAATACAAATCTTGAGACATTGTACATTCATTGTTAGAAAATAGGACTAAACTTAGTTACATAGCATTTTCTGGGTTCTACAGAAAAATATGATCCTTATTAAAATGAGTAACAGTCAAATTTCACTTAAAAATTCAACTACATCCTACAATTACAGAGAGCAAAAGTCAAACAACATAGATTGAAAAAAATATTAAGTGGAATACTATGCTTAACATGAATATGTTTACGAAGAGTTTATGGTCATGTCAATGAAGCAAACTAGCATTAAAGATAAAGAGCTCTAAAGAAAGCAAAAAAAGAGTTTTT